ATATACTAAATTTAAACGTCCACAGCGACACATTGCCACCTTATGTGAATCCGTTTGCAACAAATCCCCTCTCAGTAGTATCACAAAAAATTATGCATCCTTATACTGGTCAAGATACCGTAAAACGATTATCCTATTCGTATTGGGTAAACGCCATAATCTAAGGCCTTTCAACGATTTATTATTGGGAACTTCTTGACTCAAAAGAACAAAGGCACATTAAAGTATTTTCGCGAAACTACCAGAATCTCGATATCTGAGAAGAGAGGATCTTCAAATCTTTTGGGATAGGTACAACTTCAAGGGTAATAAAATAATTAAATAGCATTTCTGAATCTTATTTAAAACAAAATTGAAAGTACTTGCAAAATTAATTGTTACTCAAATGCAAAGTATTGTCTTGATTCCACTGAATATTCGTAATACAAATTATCTTCTGTTACATGATAGTCTTCCGCACTTGATGTTTGTGGTTACTACAAGATTCCAAATTACTAATTTATTGTTATAGAGACAAGCGCTACCTATAGGTATTGTCACCGACTGTTTTTCGCAAATCGTTCCCATCGTCCATTACTTGGTGTGCAGAAACACGTAAATCAGTCACATTATCTACAATTTCTTCAAATGAAAGGGTGTAATTTCTTACCTGTTTTTGTTATAAGTAAGAGTGAGTGAGTTGCATCTACAACCTTAATTTGTTCATCTCCTTCAGAAATTATAGACAAAGTAGGTGTGATTTGTTCCAAATTCTTATTATCAGATAAACAATTTACCATTCGTGGGGTAGCTTCGTCTTCATATTTAACTTCAACTCCAGAGTGAGAGAGTGGGAGTGATACATGCACATTTTCCGTTATCAGAGGAATCATGTACAAACTGCATGCGGACGCTCGGTTCCAAATTAGCGGTATTTTCACCGCTTACCCCTACTGTAGCTGCAGCGTCTACATATACCTTTACAAGGCAAAAGTGAGTCTCTGTAGTGTAGGTACTTACTTTTTTTAAATTGATTTGTGTTCCGCGTTCGAGATCCCTCAGGTTCTGCCATCTTCCAAATTTGATATAAGTACCTACTTCGGAATAAAACTTTATTTACTGGAAGTTTATTGTTTGGTGTCGATTTACGCTGAAGGAACTCTGACTTTCTTGATTAACCCCTTAACAATAGCTTCACTTTGCATCTCTTTGGCTTGATTCAATGTAATACATTGACCGTCATGAGGCGATGCTGGCATAGGCATAGATTGTCCACTGAATGTCACAGTTTCTGTTTCATTGGTTGTACTTTCTGTACACCAACCACTTCCAACTGGTTAAACGTTCTTTGATTTCAGTGTGGAATGGTTCTTCAATGTTTTCACCTTATTGAAATTAGAAACTAAAGGTACTTCTTCTGGCAGTAGCAGATTGCTTACCTTACAATTTTCAATATTATCGTGCAAAATAGTTTGAAGTCGGTAAACATCAATTTGCAATTATTACAAATTGTGTAGGTGTATACGGTTTTCTGCATGTATAGATTATGTAGACATTATAAAGATGTACTCTACCTACAAATTGGTTCTGACGTTTGAATCGGCTTAAAACCTTCTCTTCCACCATTATTCATTATTTTAAACACCCGAGGACTACGATCAACACCGCACAGGCAGGGCCGGTTTAACCACAAGGCGAACATAGGCGGCTGCCTGGGGCGCCAAGCTTCAGAGGGCGCCAAAATTAAGCAACATCTTTCAACGACAGCGCGTCGGCGGCTCCAAAAAACTTCCCGGTACTTTTTAATGACGCTTCCAGTGTCGGTGGTCAGCGGAGAACGCAGTTTCTCCAAGCTAAAGCTGATAAAGAAATTTTTGCGGTCAACAATGTCTCAGAATAGGCTCGTGGACTTGGCAATGATCTCAATTGAATCGAGGGAGGCATGGAATGTAAATTTAGAACAGATAGTCCAGCAGTTCGCGAGAAATAAGGCAAGGAAGATGAATTTTTGATTTTTTATGTGTATATCCCTTCCCTAATATCTTTGGATATGCGTTTTTGTATACCTACACCGCCTACACGTTATGTCGTTATGTTATTATGTATTTGAAGAAAACACAATAAAGTATTTATGAACGCCACTTTCTATTTTTTGCCTGGTACTGGTACCTAGGAATAACCTCCGGAAGGGCGCGCTGAGAACATCTCGCCTAGGGCGCCAAATAGCCTTTCACCGGCCCTGCGCACAGGACACACTCTCGTTTGAAAGAAACCTTGTCTGGTGCAAAGTACCTACATGAATGTTTTTTATGAATACAACAGTTTTTATTACAGGTGCCTCATATAGTCATAAAACATACACATCCTCGTATCTTTGTATTGAGAGCCATCATGTGTAATGTACAACAGGTCAGGAAACTCACCTCCCACAAATTCCACAACTAAAGATATTTTTACAAATTAAGATACCCCAATTCGGATTGCATACACCATAATAAGCTAGGGCTTTGAATAGAAAGGAGTACTTTAAAATGTTTTTGTGGTGCACCTCAGAGCTAACTCCCCCCCTCTTCACCTTCGTTACTACACTAATACTTTAATGGCCCGTAAGTACCCAGTCCGCCCCTGTGTATAACCTTCCTTTTTTACCAAAATTCAACTACACCAAAATTTTTCGGGAAAACACTTTTTCTTATTAATTTGGGTTGGGTGCGTAGAATCCAAATCAATTCGTACTTTTTCGATCAGACTTCTCAATCAAAAGTTATAGACTAGAAACCAATTTCGAAAGAAAATTAAAAGGGCTGTAACTTTTGAACTAGTAGCCCAATCTTGGAACTGTTTGAAATTATGGATTCTACAGGCCACATTCTATAAGAAAATTTTTTTTTCAGGTCGATCTGAGACAATTTATTTTTCGGGGCTCAAAAAAAGGCAGTGTATAACCTTTCTTTTTTACCAAAAATCGACTACACCAAAATTTCTCGGGAAAACACTTTTTCTTATTAATTTTGGTGCGTAGAATCCAAAACAATTCGTACTTTTTCGATTAGACTTCTCAGTCAAAAGTTATAGACTAGAAACCAATTTCGAAAAAAAATTCAAAGGGCTGTAACTTTTGAACTAGTAGCCCAATCTTGGAACTGTTTGAAATTATGAATTCTATAGGCCACATTCTATAAGAAATTTTTTTTCCGGGGCGATCTGAGACAATTTTTTTTTCGGAGCTCAAAAAAAAGGCACCTTCCTTTTTTACCAAAAATCGACTGCACCAAAATTTCTTGGGAAAACACTTTTACTTATTAATTTTGGTGCGTAGATCCAAAACAATTCGTACTTTTTTGGTTAGCCTTCTCAGTCAAAAGTTATAGACTAGAAACCAATTTCGAAAGAAAATTCAAAGGGCTGTAACTTTTGAACTAGTAGCCCAATCTTGGAACCGTTTGAAATTATGGATTCTACAGGCCACATTCTATAAGAAAATTTTTTTTCCGGGTCGATCTGAGACAATTTTTTTTTTCGGGGCTCAAAAAAAGGCAGTGTATAACCAGGGGCGCACTGGCCCGGGGGGGCGGGTGGCGATTGCCACCTGGCCTGTAGATCATAATGGCCCTTTGGAAATTTATGAGTATGTGCTGTATTTAGTTTCTTGCACTATTAATAAATTATTAACACGTTTCTCTAATATTGGGGTTGATGTTAGGTTGTTAAAAAATTCTGTTTTAATTGAAGTGTTTTACAATGAATTTATCATTTTTTGTCGTAGCATGAAAGTGCTGAAATACAATGATAGGCGACGCACCTCGTGTGGATTGTATATTTTGTTACTTTTAATTATCAGCTGCAATTTAAAAAAAACTGTATGGTAATTGATTTTCGAGAAAGGAGTACTTTAAAATGTTTTTGTGGTGCACCCTCAGAGCTAACCCCCCCTCCTTCATTACTACACTAATACTTTAATGGCCCGTAACCTATGCAATTCCACCTGGCCTGGCCCGCAGTTACTCAGCCGCCCCTGACTATGACGCTACCTACGCGTTCGAATAACACAGTGCTCAATCATTTTGCTTGCGAGGAGCTTTGGATTAGTATCATTTTACATTAAGAATTGGCCCATCGCCCTGCCGCATCCGTATCCTAAAATCATCCACGCAACCCAGGCATTTTGTCCTTTATTCGAGTTCCATGGCGGATTGGTCGTACTGTCTAAACAACAGACTAAAAAAAATTTGTGTATGTAGCATTACACAGAGCTCCATCTCCACCTGTTAGCTGCTAATGACTAAAACACCCACCCGCCCTTAGAAATTGGAGAAACTGGTGAGATTTTTAGAATCTCGACAGAACAACTTTGTCTGAATAGCCAAACAGGGCAATCTTCCCCGCATATGGGTGGGTGCACATTTAAGATCGTATAAGGTTGTGCATAATGGGCTTCGGGCTAGAAGTAGTCAAATAATATGTGGTGTGGAACCTCAGATCATTGTGGGGCAAATATAAACAGACACTGTATCTTCTATACCGCTATGTAAAGGAGCGACGTCGAGGAAGGCTGAACGTAGTGGGGAAGAAACGTATTCTAAAGAGACTTTAACAAGTCACAACTGCCCTTATATACATATACAGGAATTACCTATTCAGTTTAGACTTTTGCTGTTCCACTCGTAAGAGTCAACTGTATCAGTAATTGAATAACACAAAAGCCCCTCAATGTTACATGATTGCGATATAAAGGACTCTCTCTTGGTCTGTCCAGAACCCAGAATTACTAATACGCAGGTATCGAAAAAGAACATGTATGATATGGTATGGGCTACGCGAACCTGTGCCACATACAATTGGAGAAAATAATACCTGCATATGAATATTTTTTCACGCATCACACTCATCTTCTAGAGAGCAACACTGTCATTATAGGACGCTGCGGGATTTAATATTGGTGCTGGAGAAAGGGTGTGTATTCACATCCCATCGAACAACCGCAACTATTAACATTTATTGTATCAATTAAAACAACTTGCTTTATACATCAGTTTTATATTTCATACATAAGTAGGTACATAGTAAGTACATCACCGACCATTTTTTTTAATTTTCAATGCAAAATATATGTGGTACAAGTACATACGCTTACTTACCTACATTTATCTTTTTTTCATATTGAAGATGTCAAAAATAAAAAAATAATCAATAAACATATCACAGAGGTAGGTATTTTACATTACATTATCGTCTGCCATGATAGTTATAACACTAGTGGCAGATGGAGACTGATCGTGAAAATACTGAAACACATTGTTTTTGTCGCCACTTAACGATCGTCGTAATGTTCTATTTGCTGAATACGCATGTCCACACTTACTGGTTAGCGAATCAAGTTCATGGGTGTCACATAGTGTCAGTGATGTTCGTCTTTCCCTTGTTGCTTTTTTAGAACCAAAGTAACAAAGTAATTTTGAATAATGGAATTGGCCGAATTGATTTTCAGGTCCAGCAACTGCCAATAATGAACCTAAATAGAAGGTAGCATACAGCCAACTGACACTCATTACTGTAATTAAAAATATTCCGATTTGTATGTACGGTAGTATAATTGACGGCATCATAAAAGCGCCTGCTGCGCTAGTAGTAGTAGCAGCCATTAGTGACGGCCCCACCATGTTAGCGAGTGCATATCGAGTACTTTTCACACGATTGTCACTAGTGGGGCACAATCTATAATGCACAGTGTAATGTAGACTGAAATCTACTGCAAGTCCAATCGCTGTTGAAACAGCGATTGACTCTAATACATTTAATTTCCAGCCTAATGACACTAAAATTGCCATTATAACAAATATACTGCACGTGATGGTTAAGATGGCGTAAAAACTAGTTAGGATATTTAAAGTGGCCACCAATAAAACAACCAGGGCCAAACCCATCGAAATGCCAATTGCAGCAATGGTGCCTTGTGACAAGACATGTTGTAAATCATAAAATTCCAAGTCACTAACGAACCATCCCCTTTTCATACTCGTCGGCGCACTCCTTAACTGTTCATTCATCCATTCTTCAACTTGTGTAAAAAAAGTGTGCATATGTTCGTACGACATTGAGTATGAATAATTGCTATCATATTCAACAACAACAGCTTTTATTGTCGGAAACTGGTCTTTAGAAAATTTCGGACCAGCCATACCTGGGATAAAATATTCCGATGGAGTTTCATACAGATCACTCATTGCATACACAATACATTGATCAAATACAGTACTATTGTAAGGGAAATGTTCCTTTTCACAGCAAGGTCTACGATCCATATTATCAATAGGATCTACACATCGCCGCTGCATCCATGACATGAATGATTCAATAAAACAATTTGGCAGCAGTGCACCTAATGTTGTTTGATAAAAAGGCTGCTTTCGAATTGCACGGCAAAAATTTAAAAGCCAGCTTTGAGATTCCTTTTGAGACATATTAAAATTCGAATCTAATTGAAGTTTTCCTAATGATTGTGGGTCTAAGTAATTGCCATTGTCAACAGGTAATACCCCCCAAACGAAACGTAAAGGCAGCTTGTAGTTTGCAGGGTTTCCATTACCACTCTGAAAGAGATACAAATATTCATACATTGGAAAGTGAAATTTTAAAAGTACAGCTTACTGACGGTTCTTACCTTTTCAGAGCGTTCGAACCAGAAATGATTTTTGTAAATCAAATCATATTTTTCAAATGGATGCGAACTCTCAAATAATTGAAAATCGGGAGTATTCGGAAGTTGCAGCTTAGGATAGTACAACACCATAACAGCGCTACAAATGGCTACAGCTGACAGGAATATTAACCAAAACAGGCGAAACTTTATCACAATATCTGCCACCAGCTGATCTTTGTTATTCCACAGCGATATAAAAAAGCTGAACTGGTACCTCCAAAATTGCTCCAAACATTTCCAGTATGTTATCAATGGTGATGAGCGGAAAGTAAAGATTGTTGCGCACTTGGTCTGGAATCTTTCGGCAATTAATATACTCGCAGGTAACCATGACATCATCAATATGCAGTTAACAATTATGGTAGTTGTTGCGAAAACACTTAAATAAAAGAGAAATCACATTTATGTATTTAAACAATCACACACGTACAGGAGGCAGATGTTTTGCAATTAGCTTGACCATATAACCCCTTGTTAAAAGAAAAGACCTGTTCAATGATTCCTTTCAACACTGCAACCTCAAACTTCCTAGTCTGTTAATGTCACGGACGTAAACTTTGGTAGGTATTCTTTATCTACACTGAGAGGAGGGTTTGAGATGTTGACACAGAGTTGAAAAAAAAACAAAGTAAATTAATCAGTGGTGATTTTAAGAAGATTGTCGCATGTGAATACAAATTCTGTTTGAGCAGGTCATAGTGAAAATGAATAGAGAATAGAGAGCAATAGATGGTATGGTCAAATCAGTTGCAAATTAAAGTTTTCTAACATCTTCCACAGCTATTTGATTTAACAACTAACCTAAATCATAAACTACACATTTCTTCTCTACCTTACGTTTTACATTAACACAACACTCACCTGAAACAACGTATCGCTGTTATAGAACTAATGTACGATGCTAAAAAAGCGGCGGCCGTTGTGACCGAAGTAATCAACATCGAAACTAATGCATGATCAAATGCGTCATTAACCATTTGGATAACTGAATTTTCTTTCTGTTTCTTTGAATTATGCCATGCTTTGCAGAATATGAAGACATCATCAGCTCCAATGCCTAACATCAATTAATTATGCGTAAAAACCGGTTAGCGTTTTCAATAGACTTACCAATAGTAACAATTGTAGCTAACAAATTCATAAATGGAAAGAATCTCAGTTCAAAAACAAGTGTATACACGAAATATGAAATGCCAAGTGAGAATAGGATGGCAATCACAGTCATGAACGTAATAAACAAAGACCTGGTGTAGAACCAAATGCATAAAAATACAAACACTCCCCCTGCAGTCATAAACCAAGCATCCTCAATTAAGCACCTGTCGAATAAAGCACTTTTGATCCCAAATTCTATGGCAACCAAAGAAATCCCATGAAACTTTAAATTTACATCTTTTAAATCTTTGTAATACTCTAAAGCAGCTGTGCTACTAGCAATAGGTAAAAATATCATTGTTTCTTTTAACTCAGTCTTCATTATTTCCTAAAAAATAATAGGCAAATTGAATTACAAAACACAACTGTATTAAACCTACATTAGGAGGAAGGAAGGAAGTACTTGTTAAAAAATTTAATATGTTGAACACAGCGTTATTCTTCACACAGTCTACAGGAACTTTACAATGCCCTCGTTCATAACAATCTGGAGCTAATTGTAAATTATGGTAGTATTGTGAACAGGACTGTAACAAGTTTTTCATATTCTGGATATCTTCTTCCTGTAAAGGTACCAGTCTCAAAATCCCGCACCAACTCACATAAAACAAAATCTTAAGAAATGTGTTATCGCTGCATTTAAAAAAAGTACCTATATACATTGGCGCAATGACGGTTACGCTCGCATGTAAGTATGATCCTCTTTATTTTGCATTCTTTTTACAAGTTGAACCATATTATTTACGTGCTTTATTATTTATAATTCCTTACAAATTGGTTTTCATTGTGCATACCTACACCACAAACACATATGCTACAACCCTTCATGGTATTCTAATGAAAGGTCTCTACAAACTATAACTTCTCTCTGTGACTCCTTACAACATTATATTCTTTCAGTTTACCCAAGTTGATTTCTGGTAATATTTGCCAATTTTAACTAGCACTACATCAAGATTTTTTTAAATACTTCTTATGTTTAAGTAAAATATGTAATTGAAAATTAAAGTCATTTATATTTTAATTCCAGTGGTGGCTATAATTGCCAATATTGTTTCAACAGATGTGGTAGTGTAAGGATAATTACTGGTGGTCACGAGTTAGCCGATTCACATTCATAAGGGACTACAGAACAGAAGGGTAGGTATGCAGCGCATGAGTGCTGAGCAGAGCAATACAATAAATTTTGATATGTTAATCAGCTATTTTCTTATTCTTTTGTCTGTCGAATGCAAAAATGTAAAATTATACAAGGTATACCATTTAAATTTAGAGAACCAGAAGAGCTAGAAAGATACTATTAGTATTAAATTCGATTTTACAACCGCTCACCACAGACTTTTTATATTCGTATCATTAATTCTACCAAAATTGCAGGGGTAATAGCCTAGCGGTGTATGGTGCATGTAAACGTGGCATATACAGCTACAATCAATTGTTTTTTGTTTCTTTGCTATATACAATTTATCAAAAATGACTTCTTGTAGTATGAAAAGCAACAGAATAGTGAGTGAAGATTGTAATACCGAGAATTGTTGTGTTCACATGATCATATGCCTAAGACACACAGGATTAATTACTGAACAAACTGCCGAATTATGAAGATTGTATAAACAAAAATCAGAACAACTGAAAGCAGATAGACAGATCCGAAATGCAAAGGAAAAACTGATGAAAGAGTTATTCATGACACAGCTGTTTTAGTTCTTTATCATAAACAGAGTAATTTGATTGGCTAAAGGAAATAGCCATCAATTGATGGATTAAGACTTTAAGAGCAGCGAGCATGTACATATGCAATGCTCTGCTGTGTAAATGGTAAATGATAGAGAATATATTTCAAAGTGAGAGATAATTAGGATCCTCAAAGTTTTGCAAAATGGTCTTTTTGTATATTTAAAGACAGGTTTAGCACAACTTTAAATTTTGCACTACAGAATTACGGCTAACTTACCACAATTGCTAAACAAGAAGTTCTGTTATGTAACTGAGCAATATAATTAGAAAGAGACCAAGGTTTACAACATTTCTTCGGTCTTTTGAATGGATGCAAGCACAACTCTTTATAATACTGGGCTTGCACTAATTCATATTCCAATCTACACAGGGCTGACAATGACTCCATGGTAAATAAGTCTGCATCCATATCAGATTTTAATACTGCATGCGCATAGTCATGATCTAAAAAAGTACACATCTAGGTATAGAATGCTTACGTGTAATGATAGTTTAGTTACCGGGTTGACCACAAAAGTAACCTTCCTTTGCTATGCGATGTGTATTGTGCTGTCCTGGTGACTTATGCTTAATGAGATTTTGCAATGTGAGCCAATTGTTCTTTTCACTTTTACGACTAGTCTCATTGTAAACATTAATAAATATCTAAAAATAGTTGTTAGCCTCCTACAAAAAATATAATAGATTCTCCGTACATTGGGCGAAGACTCATTTAAGGCTTGCTTAAAATTATTTCTCGTACTGTAATCTTTTTGTTCCAAAAATTCTTTAGGATTAACTGCAAAAGGTCCCGAGAATTTTGTCGATTTTTCCAAATTTTTCCAAGTCGTTAATCTACTGGACAGAACGGTTCCTCGTGTTTCAAAACCCTGCACAGAATTTTTTCTTGTTAAATCGTTATTATAATTACAATATAAAATTAACTTACCATTTGTGGATCAGAAAAGTCCGGGAGAGATTTAAGGGTAAAAGGAATAATAAGGCAGGTGACAGAAAATACAAGCACTCCAAAAAGAATGACCAAAGGATGATGTATTAAAATGTGCGCTAGCCAGTGAAAATTCATAGTTAATCCTCTACACACCCAACAGAAATTCAAAATAATGAGAACTGCCCTGCCATTTACCTGGCCATCCTTCAGACATCCCCAGCAGTAACTAACGGTAACCTACACCATTTTAGAGTCGTAAATGCGTCTAGAAGGACGAAGAGATGCTCTCAGATTTCATCTCAAAGAGTGAGATAGTCACAGTAAAGCAAAAAAATCTTGTATATATAACCTTGAGCAGGTATTCAAATACAATACAATACATTAAAAAAAAAAGTGCTTCTATAGGGGTTGGGGGTAGCTATAGCCCGTTTATAAATAGTACGCGCAGTTTTCCGGGATTGCGCGCGAATTTAAAAAAATGGAGGACAAAAATAGAAGCTTTCGCTCTAATCGTTAAATGTGACTAAACAAAAAACAAGCCCGGCTAAAACGTTCAAGGTTCATTACTCAAATAAATATTTAATTATGCTCGCGCAATTAAACAGACGAAGATGTATCTGCTCTAGGTGCACCAGGAATAAATTAAAATGCCATAAATAAGAGAAAAAGTCAAAATCATTTTAGGCGCGAAAAAGCTCAATATTTCAACAACTATATTTTTCATAATGGCGTGCTGTCTATTTATCTGTTGCATTGTAAATACCGTGCTTACAATTATATATCAAACGGAGTTATCAATCATCAATTTAAATTTGTTCTTTAGATAATAATTGCTAGGAGCGGCATCCGAGATTATTTGACTTCCTGTTATCCTGCTAGTACTTCTCTGCGCTGATAATCTTTTATAATGTCTACGGTCAGCAATTTTTAAATATTAAAATTTTTTTCCGTGGATATACGTATATTGGGCATATGGAAACGATAAATAACGGACCGGATTAAAAAAAATAATTTGGAGCGTCGCAACGCCATCGAACTTTTTTCAAATAATTTTAACTAAAATATTTTTGTTGGCAAAACGGTTACTTCGATTTGATTTTTATATCTGAATTTTAAGCGCCGTTTAAGAATTAAAAATGTGCTATTGTTTGCGTTTTGTCCGGACCCACATCTGCGACTTTGAACTACTTTTAGGAGAATGGTTCTAGAGTCCTGGAATTTTTTGCAATACGTAGCCTATACAAAGGTGTGCGACGACCAACTGGTCTCAGATTTTGCATATGCATATACCTTTTGTGCCACGTAATTTTTTTTAAAATGGGGCGGGGGTAAACACAGGTTCTACCCTTCATGGAATTCTAATCCATGGTAGTTTTGTAAGTGCATAGGGATAGACCACGCATGACTCACACTATATCTTTTATACAGGATAATTACATAGATATACACAGTTACAATTTAATAGATACTTTATTACAAGTGAATTAGCTAAAAACAGCGTGCAAACATTTTTTTCCAATTGCAGCAATCATTATTACGAGTTTGATTTCAAGATCAAGGGGTTGGAAACTTTGAATATATTAGGCAACATAGTAGTTAATGATTGAAATACGTCGCTGGATATTCCCTGAAACAAGAAAATAGTACTTCATAGGTAAACTACCTGATTAAACCTTTGGCAAAAGAAATTGTAAATTTTTTAAATCTGATCCTCCCCAAGACGCCATTTCAATCATAAATCCTTTGACACATTTAAAGACGAGTTCAGCTCTCTTTGTGCACCATGTAACAGTCATTCCCTATAAAAAACAATTTGAATTAAACCGCAGGAATATTTCAACACATTTACCTCCGACATTTCATATTGTAGTAAAAGAGGAATTGTGAGGAAAGTGACATCATTAGAACAAGCCGATTTGAGTATATTTCTGAGACCCAAAACCACTGGGTGGCGGCTGTTGATATCGTTTCCGTATAAACTATCGTCAGATACCATATGAAATATCACATGAACTTGGGCCAAGTTGGAATGTCTTGTAATGTATACATCTCCTGGTTGTAAATGCTTACTGTTTGCAATCTTTGCAGTGTTGTCCGTTTGATATTTTTGTACAGTGGATGATACACGTTCCAGTTGATCGTCAATGTAAGGAAAATGAAACTCTGTCGTTCGTTGACAAATTTCAGTAAATTCTGCAAACAACATGTGGTATTATCATTGAATAAGTAATTATAATTACTTATTCAATGGCATTATATATTGAAATAATGCATCTAACAATTTTCTTATTTATAATTTTTTGGAAATTTTAACCACAGATGCTTCTAGTAAAGACAAGTACAATTTGCTTTTTCAATCTATAAAAATTAATAATTTAATTCTTTCATTTTTATGAATAGGCCAATTTGTTGAAAAACGCACTACCCTACACACCTTATTCGGAAGAATGTAAATAATCAATAAAATACAAATTCAGATGACATGAAAAGTGAGCCAAAATTTGTGAACAAATCGTCAAGCACATTTTACTTCCAACATTTTTGGTATATACCCTCGCCAACGTTCGTATTTACAAATGGAAAATACGCTTAGGGCGAAAACCTTTTTTATTTATTTTTTAATTCTTGTAAGCAGTTTAAAAAAATGTTGACTAACTCATGGGAGAGATAATATTTATGTCGCCGAAGATGCGTTTGCGTCATAATAAAAGCCCACCACTGTAGCATTTTAATAGAAGTATTTAAATGTTATTTACGTTAGCTATCTTACTATCTAGTGTATTATAGCCTTTAAATGATCTGATTACTAAATAATACAGTGAACTGATCATACCAACCTTTACAAAGTCGTGATCCAATAACATTATCAGTCATGAGAACTAATCCACACAAATCGTTGGAATACAATCCTAAAGCAGTCTGCAGCAACTGAGGCGTTGTATCAGCTCTAAAAACAAATTTAGATGTACATTACAGCAGTGGTATGTAAGGAACTGAAAGAAGCTTACAATTCTTCATTTTCTTGTATGGCACATAAATCCATTACATCAGCCGAGAGTATTCGAATATTATGCATTTGTTTCAATTGCGAACCTAAATGTATAGTGAAACTTTCCTCTAAAATCGACGTTTGATGTTGGTTTTGGTTCTGACGTACATTACTAAACAATGGACTTGGTATACTTGATATTGATGGAGACGTTCTAAAATATTTTCGTTACTTTGGCACGAAACTTTGCATGTCATACTTAGACAGTAATAAAGAATTGCTTGCTTGACTTTCTTCTAACATTTGCATCAACCACTCTCTGTATTCCCTCCGCTGTGTCTCCTTTATTGTTTCTAATTCACTGGTGAGTTGCACACGTAAAAAACTTTGATCTTCAAAATGTCGAGTAGCCATTTCATTTATTTCCAATTCGGTAATTCCAACCTCTAGCTGATCAACTGCTTGACTCATTTCTTCAGTTTGCCTACAAAAATTGCATAGCAGCGGCTCATTCACAAAGGACTTACTTCTCAGATAAGTTTTTAATTTGAAAATCCTTTTCATTGACACGTTCTCTAACTGAGATGGCATACATGCACTCCAGCTGAAGCATAGTTTCAAGTGCAGGGGAATGCACCAACTTGTGATAAGCTGTGGCAAATAACTCCTCATCAGAAGCACACCTACGATCTCCATACTCTACAGTTTCCTATTCAAACAGTCTTCTCATTATCAATATCAACGCGACACAATTTCAGTACCTCTTTTATTAACTTATCCCACTCTTTGGTAGTGTCCTCAATAACTGGAAGGTTTTTAAACTCTTGTAATAACTTTGTGGTTCTCTCATCGTAGTACTTTAAATTCAACTCTTTGATAAATTCACATAACTGTTCCGTTAAGTCTGAAAAAACAAATTTCAAACATTTATGCAGTTTATAGAAAAATAATAAATACCTACAGTTGCATAAATGGGTAAATTGTTTTTAAGTAACAAAATTCGAGACAACTCTCGTAGTGATTCCGAATTTGGAAGACTTATGGGAAAACTTACATCGGCTAGATTACCATCTTTAGGTTTATAATGAAATATTCTGGATTCTTCCATACCTACTTTAAAGGTAAAAATATTAATTATTACAACGAAATATTATATTATATCTTAGGTTATGTTCCTACATAAATAAATCACCTTTGTATTTTGATGGGAGGTACAGTGTTCTACTGTCAGCTGAAAATTATAAATGGAAGTACACGTATTTATCAAAAGAGGGCGCAGGCTTTAAAAAGGATAGAATTTCGAAAAAAATTCAAAAGAAGCTCTATACAGCACATTTTTTCCATTCACATTACTTTTTTATTGGGTATTAGTTAGATGTGCATGCAAAGTTCAAGAACTGCATGCGTTTTTAGTTGCCCTATTAATATTATTTACTCTATGCCTATTATACAACGGGACAAAGATGACATAATAATTACTCTTTGTCGGGACGACCTTTGATTATATAATAATAGTCTATATTCAAAGGGTAATACCATTGTTTATTAATAAACAAAGGTAATACACTCTGACTCCTTCGAGAAGTACTGAAGTAGAGCTGTGTTTTAAAATATCCATGAAAAGTGCTCACAAGTTTTGAGCACCAAGCTCTTCGTCGATTATTTTTAAAAGCAATCTACAATGGCACAGCCCCAATCTTTTTAGCACATTTTCCAACTAGTTCTAAGTACATAAGTTCTTCTCTAGTTCCTTGCCAGTATCGGTCTACATCTATTCAGACGAGATAGTAGATATAGTAGGTGAAAATAGTACCTATGTCTTAACTGTTTTAAGCTCGTTCCAAGTAAATTCCAAGTATCCTGGAATCTTGAAACTTAAAATAATCACGTCAACATAAGAAAGTCGTTTAAATGGCATCCTGCCATCACTCTACAGTTACACCCATTCTAGCTTTTCC